GCAGGGGTCCCCCCAGGTGGCAGGTGGCAAGCAGAGGCCCTCCTCATCTGCCTGACCTTCAGCAGCCCCCAGCCCAGGCCGCCTGCCTGGGTGGGAACCCGTCATCACCAGAGGTGACGGGAAATCAACTCTTCAGTACATCAGCTCTGAATTAGAGACTGTCGTGGGGAACGTGGGGCCCTGTTTCCTTTGCACACATATAATAACTCCAACCAGCCCAAGAGAAGCACTCAGACGGCTTCCTTTAATGGCTGGCTAGGAACAGCTGGCAATTAGCCCGTCAATCTACGCTGTGTATTGATGTAAACATGCACTACATCATCTGTTTGTATTCATTTGTTCTTTCCAGGGTTTCCCCGTGGGTCGGTCTCCTCATTAATCCCCATTCAAAGTAAAGCACATTTCTTTTGGGGGTGTTTTAGGAAAATCTGTCCTCCCCATGTGACCTTGACTTAGATTCCAAATGGGCTTTTCTTGGGTTCCTGGAGACTCGTGGTGTGAAGACAGTTTTCACCACACTCTGCTTTTTTATTTTTTTAATCTTCCTCTTTTTTTTACGCTTTATTTAGGTAAGTTGATCTACAAAAACTGCACATTTTTAATGTACACATTTCGATGGGTTTGGGCACGTGCGTGCGCCCGATACCATCACTACATCACCGGCCTCACTCTACTTAACGCGCTGCAGTCAGGTAGACGGAGTTCACTGTTTACCTCCCACGGGTCAGATACTAGGATTTTAACAGTTTGTCCCAGGGTGTCCATTCAAAGGGAGGCATGGGGACCTGCACTTTGTAGCAGGTGGGCGTGGAGAGCGAGGGGACCAGGAGACAGGAGGCAGGGTGGGGGTCCTCACCTCCCTGTTCTGGCCGCTCGTGTAGAGCTGAGGCTCGGTCAGCAGCACGTCAGCCGGCACGTCCTTGTCCAGCACCCCAGTCACGAGCTGGGGGAGCGAGGAGAAGAGCAGGTTAAAGAAGATCAGGTACCACTGGTCGATCATGGCGGACGCGGAGAAGCCACAGTAAAACTGGAACCAGAACAGGAGGCCCACGAACATCTGTAGTCAGGAAGAGTGGGAACCGGCAATGCTCAGCTGCCCCGCAGACTCGCCCAGGGGAGGCAAGGGGTCTGCAGGGTCTGACTGTAAAGGCTGAATTTATAGGTAGATATTTCCTACCAAGACAGCCCTTACCTTGGAGCCCTCTGACTCCCCGCTTCCTCCTCCTCCCTGCTCCCACCTGGATCCCTTAAGCAGGAAGAACCGACGTTAGCTGGGAGTTCCCACAGATGGCCCTTGGAGGAACCAGGTCTTGTGCCCAAAGGACCACAGATCGTAACAGAAAACAAAATACAAGTCTGGCAGGGTCTAGGGTGGCTCATATTCCAAAAAGGCCGGCTCGGTAAGTCACACATCACCAGGCTTCTTTCCGGGTGCCCCTCTCTGTGACACCAAACCAAACCTACCCAGGTTATACCCTGGATCTCGCCCTTCTTTTTGATGGGGAACAGTGTGCAATTACTGACTTGCATGGAGGCAAGGACTCACATAAGCACGGTGGTAAAGGCAGTGAAGACACCAACACCAATGCCTTGACTGAGCCCTGGTACCCACCCAGCACTCTGGGCAGGGAGCTACAGGCATTATCACTGGTCCCTACGGCTATCCCAAACAGGAAAGGTTCAGGGAGGTGGAAGGGCCTCCTCCCATGCTTAGTAGGAGGAGCTGGGGAGACCTCTTCACACTGTTAGTTGATCAATGGATGTCCGTGGCCTGAATGCTTTTTTCTTTTTTTTTTTAATGGACATATTGGGGATTGAACCCATGACCTCATGCATGCTGAGCACGTGCTCTACCACTGAGCTACATCCTCCCCCATGACTGTATTTCTGTGATGGGCATGGGAGGCAACTGCAAAGCATTCCGACATTTATTAGCAGTGCAACCCGGCTCAGACCATTTAGCCCCTCTGGCCTCAGTGTTCCTGTCCATGAAATGGGCACACACGTGGTACCTAGGTGTGGGGCTGTCATGAGGACTGATGACTGATGCACCTTCAAGAACCCACAGGAGTCCCCTGCACACTGTAGATGCTCATCCTTGGTTTGTGGTTGTTTCTGTTGGCAGGAGGGCTGTTTTCTTTGTTTGAGGCCCAAGCAGGGCCAGCGTGCTTATGACCTCATTTAGAGGAAAGGAAACTGAGGGCCACGATGTCAGATGACTGGACTACGGTCACCGCATGAGTAATAAACCCAGTGTGTGCAATCACCCGATGATCTTGGCCCGGAGGAGCCACGGAGGGAGAACGTTCTCTGCTGGGTGCTGCAGACAGTGGCCTGGGTGTGGCTTGTGGAGCTGCCACCGTCCACACTTCCAACCTGGACACAATCACTTAACCTCCCTGAGCTCTGGTTTCTTGACCTGAACGTGGCTCATTCCCAAGATCAGAAAAAAATGACAATCTACATGGACATCACCTCCAAAAGAGACACAGATCTTCTAGGACCTGTTTCAATCTGTGACTTACTGCGACTTCCCCCTCCCACCCTGAAAACCGACAAACTCGGGTTTTCATTGACTTTCTTCCCTTTCTCACTCCCACACCTGGTTTTCTCTTGCCTACCTCCACGGGTACAGCCTAATGAGTCATCAGTGAGCAAGTGAAGTCAGACAAAGAGGAAAACCACTTGGATAATTGAGATTTTTTCCCCCTGTAGTATCAAAAAAACTTTCTCCCCAAACCACTGTTGCTATGGAAACTTTTCTTCTCTGCTCCTTACTGGAAAGGAAGGCCAACTCACTCCTAAAGCTAATGAATTTCTCACTTTGGGAGGCAGAGTGATTATCCTGGAACTTCTCAAGTAGATTAAGTGCTTGTTAACAGAGGCCGTGCAACTTACATAGAACAAAAAGCAGGCACCCTCTTCACCTGAATGTCCCTGTCCCCTCCCTGGGGACAAATTCACGGTGGCAGGCAGGAGGCTGTGGCCATTCTGGGCCCCATTTGCAACTGAAATGTTTAATGCCTTCCCCTCAGTCTGAGACATTTTCATTAGGAATTACGGAGAGCTGGTTTCAGACAAAGAAGACAAAGTCCATAAAAAGGCAAATAACTTGCTCCAGATGGCACTGCTAATGAACGTCAGAAGCAGGGCTGGGAGGCTGCTATGCCCGCGCCACTCACCTTGACTCAAAGCACCCACCCTCCGGGAGCTGGTACCTTCTAGGTCTGCAGCTGTGTGCCCGGGGCCTCAGTGCTGGGCAGGCAGAGCCAGGCAGTCAGGAGAAAGGGGACTGGACTGGCAAGGATAGGGACAGTGAGGCACAGCCATGCGTGGGTCCAGTCCCAGGCGGAACCAAACCTAAGTTAATTCCCAGGACTCAACCTACAAAATTAGACGTGCCCTGATTGTCCAGAGTATCTGTGTTAATTTTCTAGAAGATATTTCAAACAATGAGTGAGAGTGAGGGGGCGGGGGAGCGGACGGGAAAAGAAAGGTAGGTCTCAGCCTTCAGAACAAACAATTAAGAATATGAAACAAGAGCTGCGCTGATGGTGGTTCAGAGCGAACACGGAGATTCTAGAATGGAATTTGAAAAAAAACAAATAAATAAGGCTTTTATTGTTTTTTGTTTCAGGAGGGTACAGGACGATCTTGACTTTGGAGCTGTGTGTCCAACGGGCTAGATTTACGGGACTACTCTGTAAGGTCAGTTAGCCCAAGAGTGAGTTCATTTCTTGTCTCCTTGTCTGCATATTCAATTGCAAGCTCTGAGAGGCAAGAGTGACAAGGAGCAATCCGGCAACTTCTCAGTTGAATGTCTATACCTCACTCACAGGCAGGCCAGGGTTCTGAGATGGCCAAATTGTCCATCCCGGAAGGCTATGAAAAAAGACGGCTGTCTGCCAAGAACACAGTAACGAAGGGACGAAGAATTAAATGTTAGGGGCAACACGAAATGGACCCAGGCCCTGGATCAGAGTCCCTGGAGAGACAGAACCGACCTCAGCTGGCCAGGCCTGGGTATGCCCTAACTGAAGGTCAACTCCGGGCTGATCTGGCAGAGGGGGCGTCTGCCCCGCCCAGCCCAGGAGAGGCGGGGGCCGGCCTGCTAGCGGCCCCTTCCTGCTGGCCCAGGGTGAGTGTATCTCAACAGACCACTCGGTGTCAGGATCACAGCCTCAGTCCTTTCATTCTGACCCAGAACTGCCGATCACGCCCCTGCTTATTACCACGATTCCCTGCCTGCTCTAGACAGACCACCGACGAGAGCCCATCCCTGACACACAGTGACAGAGCGGTCACGTGCTTGGGAGCTGGAATCAGATGGATGGGGACTGAACGCAGTGAAACATGTATGCGAAAACCAACGGTGACTGCAAAATTCCTGAAAACTTATCAATAGAGTATGAGCATCTCCAGCTGATGACCTTGTGCAAACCCCTGGACCACATGGTCACTCTACTTCCTATTGTAAAGCCCTAAGTGGATGTTCCCCGTGGGTCTGCCTGTTTCCACGACCTTCTCCCTCAGAGGTGCGGATGAGTTAAGACTTCTGAGCCTGCAGGGTGCAAGGCCAGGCCTGGGGGAAATCCACCAAGGCCAAGGAAGGTGGAGCCAATGGGAGGCTGTGGGATGGCCCGCTGGCCAAGGTCAGGTGATGGTCCTGTGAACCTCAGGCCTTTCATATCAAAAATTCTTGATCGTGGCATCAAATACTTACTGTGTTTTTGTAGAAGAAATACAGCACCATGTTGGCAAGTCGGGAATAGCACCAGTGTCCGTGAACGATCAGGAGTCTCTCCAGGTACCGGAATCTGGGCACCGCAAAGTCGCTGGCCATCACTGCCTTGAAAAGGAGAGAGTTCCCGTTATGGTGCCAACCTCACTCCGCCTAAGGTCTGTCCTCTCCCCTCCACCAAGCCGAGGCGCCAGGTGGATGGAGAAGTTCAGTCTGAACACACGTGCCTGGCCAAGGCTGGCTGTACCACGGTCTCCCTTATGCAAGTCCAATCTCAACCATGCTCAGGTTCCAGGATGTCACTCTCCAGGGCTCACTGAAGGTTTCAAATATATGTAACTGATGGATTTTTAAAGTTTCTACGTTTTCTTTTCCATGTTATTTTTTTTAAACAAGCTAACAAAAAATACAGAGATGTGTGAAGTTTCCCTGCTTTTCCCATCCTCCGATGTTTTATTTGTTCATCTAAATCATGTTAGAATCTCGACCCAAAGGTGAACCAAAGCCACCCTTTACGTAGGCCTCAGATAGAGGGACAGCTGTCCTGGGAGTCGGTAATGGGTCGTTCTTCCCAAGAGCTACAGGTGATGAGCAAGGCCAGGCCCGTGGCTCCTCTGGCCTCCAGGTAGCCTGTCCCAGGATGGCACGGCAGGGCCCTGGACGTCGACAGGAAGGAGGTGGGAGGCAGGCTTCCTCTACCAACAGGAAAGATACCAGGGGCGGACACATCCCCGTACTTCACCGAGCATCCTGCTTGACACAGTTAAACTAATTGGGCCAGACAAACGCTATCAACGTGACACTTTTGTGCCCAAAATAACTCAAAACACATCATATAATGAGTTTCTTTATTTGGGGGAAAAGAAAAATCAGAGAAAATGTCACTGAATAGAATACATTTCTACTTATCTTTGGAGCTTAGTCCACCCCAAAATGTAAGTCTGCTTTTAAAACTGACCTGACTTGCTTATACTTAAATAACACCTGGAAAAAAAGATCAGCCTCGAGGTTGTCCTGCCCGTGAACCAGCGTAACATCAGGATGCAGGACAGAAACGTCTGAAGCCTCCAGATGGCTTTATTTTATTAAAAGGAATTTTTTAATATAATATATACATTTATATTTTATTGAAGTAGAGTCAGTTCACAATGTTGTGTTACTTTTATTATTATTATTATTATTATTATAGGTTGCTAAGATATTGAATGTAGCTCCTCGTGCTGTGCAGAAGAAACTTGCTGTTTCTCTATTTTATATACAGTAGTGTAGTATCTGCAAAGCTTTACAGGCCGAAGTTGCCAGGCTTAGCTGAGAAGCAGGCTTAGCAGAGCCTGGCCAGAGTTCAGTGACGGAGAGAAAAGTCTTCACTTAGGATGGCTGTGCTCCATTTTAAATTATTTTATTCCGTTTCACAGCCTTAGTCCTAAGAGATGTCCATGACCCTTAAATGCACTCTGCAGCTTTGAATTTATTTTTTATTTAAATTTTTCAAAAAAAATTTGGGGTGGGAGGAGATCATTAGGTTTTATTTATTTATTTTATTTCAGTGGAGGTACTGGGGAAATGCAAGGTGTCTGCTTTCTGAACCCAAACGTAAGAATCTGAAAGCCAATAGTGTCTTTATGCCTTTTCACATCCACATACAGGCATCTCAAGGGTTTTGTGCATCCTTCATCCTTTCATTCATTCCATTATTCCTTTTCTCAAAAGTCACATATTAAGACCCTCCAGTTGCCAGGCACAGACTGGGAGGCACAGACACTGTCATACAGGGTCCCTGTTCTCAGTGGAGTCAGTCTAAAAACTCTAAGGGATGTGGTTAGTATGAAGTTAAGGAGAGCCCAAGACGCAGGCGTCCACACTGCACTGGAGAAGCAGCCTGGACCCCTGAGAGCTGCAGACAGACCCCTCCTTCCAGGCCCCACCTGCCTCTCCAGCCTTCGGCCACAACGTCCCACCTCCACACTTGGACTCCTCTGCCAAAGCGGCCTCCCCAGGGCTCCCAGCCAGGTCAGAGCCTCCGGTCACACCCTCAACGGAGACACCCGTGTTTCTTTCACAGCACTCACTGCCATTATGACCACTGGTGTAAGCTTAAAATACTATCTGCCTTCCCATTTTGGCTTTTCTGAGCCTTCCATGAGAGCCAGGATAGTAGATGTGGTCATTGCTGCCCTGGTTCCCAGTCAGCGCTTGGGCCTGTGGGGCACTCAGTGAACGTGGTGGACCAGATGACTCCACGAAGCCAGGGCCTCTCAGAGACACAGAATCTCCCTGGTCCCGTCTCCCTGCCTGGGACACGTTTCCCACCTTGGCTGAGCTGGGCAGTTCCCAGCGACCTCACCTTTCCTCAGTGACTCAGCTGGGATTCCTCGGGCCCCTGCTGCCACAGCTTCCCACCCAGCGCGTCTCCCAGAGGCCTTAGCACATCTCTTTGCTTATCAGACTAAGATGCAGGCAGGGCTGTCATCCCCCGGGGTGACCTGTGCACTTACAACAGTAAGAAAAGATACCAAGCTTTATCACCCTCTTACGTAATAATGCACCCTCAGTGAGGAAGTGTAGCTTTAAATAAACACAGACGCATCCAGTAAGACCCCACCCAGAAGTCACGGCCACCCAAAGCCTCGCAATACGAGCCCTAAGCTCAGCCGTCCCCTCCAACTCCTGCCTCAAGGACAAGCAGCAGGGGCGGCTCAGCCCACCCCCCTCACATGCTTAGGCTTAGAGTCTGGACACAAAGTGCCTTCACTCGGTGGATTTCTCTGCATGTGCGCTTGGTGGGCACTGCCCTGGGTAGCTTTTCACTCTAGCACAAAGGAGGCGATGCTGGCGACATCAGAATGAATTAACTATTTTGCCCATTCATTCAACAGATGCTTTCTGAGCTCCCCCATGAGCACAGCGCTGTGAGGAGGCAGGGAGACTCCAGCCTGCACTCCATTTTTAATTTTGTGGAGGAACAAAAAACATACAAGTAACATCACACAAGTCAGAGGAGGGCAAGAGGAGGGTATGAAGGTGCTGAGGGTGAGGACGGGCCCGAGATGGAACGACTGTGCTCCTGGCTCAGGGCTTCCCAGCTTCTTGCCATTTCAGGGCCAAGATGAAAACCCCTGAGCCAGCCAGGCCTGGCGCACAGGAGGGCTCAGTAGGTAATGACCGACTGGATGCATCGATGAACAGATCAACCAGTGACTAAACAGTGATCAACACCCTGATTTTTACAAGAAGATGATTGGATAGGTTGTACCCTGAAGTCTCCACCAGGTTAAAAAAAATACTGAGATTCAATGTTAATAAAACGTGGGAAAAATGCTGTGATGCTATGGCCAAAAGAAGTCCATTTTGGTGGGGGAGGGTCCAGCTCAGAGGTAGAGCACGTGCTTAGCATGTATGAGATCCTGGCTTCAATCCCCAGAATCTCCATTAAAAATTAAATAAATGAACTTAATTACCACTACCCCCCAAAAAAACAACAAAAGAAGTCCATTTTTCACTGACTCATTTGTTCACTGTCTGGATCGCATGTCAAGAACTAACACGATGACAGATGAAAAAGGCAGAGATGCGTTGTCACATGAGCCAAGACGGCCACACTCCACTTGTAACTGAGCAGGACGCTGTGGCGCCTTCCCGGGACAGACCCCTCCCCGTGCCCTCTGCTGCAGCTCCTCTCTGAAGTACCCGGATAACCTTGTCATCTCATGCACACGTCCTGTGCTCTTCAGATACTAAAAACCACCACCAAAGGGAAGAAATTAATTACTCGATGGAGAGGATGCAGCCCCCAGACCTCCTGGTGCCCGAGGGTTGATGGTGTTGACGCCCTGTTACCTGTACACCAACCAGTCAGAGGGTTGTACACAACTGCTCACGGGCCCTGTGATCCACCCCCACCTCACCTGGCTTTTAAATAGGCTTTGCTGAAACCCTTCAGGGAGCTCGGGGTTTTCTTGGGCACAGGCCACCCGTCCTCCTTGCTCGGCCCTGAAATGAACCTTTCTCTGCTCCAAACTCCGACGTTGTGGTTAGTCTGGCCTCACGAGGCACCAGAACACAAACCTGCCTTCGGTAACACATTTTTATAGTGACCCCAGGTTGCACAGCACTATGGCAAAGTTCACTTTTCAAACGGCGTCCCCAGTGCCCAGGAGCAGTGAAAAATGCCTTCCAGGGATGAGCCGCTGACAGCCAGAGGCAGGCGATGGCCTACCCTGCCTCGCTCCGCCCCACCTTTTCACAGAAATACTTAGAGACACGAGCAGGCATATTCCTGGCATGTGGCTTCCCCGGCCACCTGGCCTCCTCCCGCTGGCTTAGCAGAAGGCGAGCGACAGTTGGACTGAAGCCCAGCCCTTTCGCTCCGCGGGACAGAGCCCAGGGAAGGCCAGCACAGCTCACACGGGACAGCCCCGCTCGGTCGTTACCTGCATGCCCTCCTGGCCCGAGATTCCCACACCCACGTCCGCCACCTGGATCATGCTGACGTCATTGGCTCCGTCTCCTAGAAACAGCACAGGCAGGAAGAATCGTTTGAATGGAGGTTCGCAGAATCAAATCGGCTTAACGCATCCTCCCAGGGTCCCCATGAGCAGAGTCCTGGGCAGGGTCTGGGGGCAGGGAGCAGAGGCGGTGCAGAGTCTTCCCCAAGGGAGCCGAGTGACGCAGTCAGAACAAGCATGGTGGGGGGCTCGGAGCCACCAGCCCCACCAGGATGCATCTCAGAAGGCAGTTAGCATGTTCCTTTCCAGCTAGCACACGCCCTACGCTGCCCTTCGCGTGGTGTCCAGCACCGCGAGAGATGTGACCTCCACCTTGAGCGTCGTTTCCTGAACTGCTCCGGTCTTTGTCACGTCAAGGCTACTCCCACTGATACTCACGTGAGTGGTTTTCTAAACTGAATGAGGGAGGTTAACCTCTGCCCAGCAAACTGGAGAGCCCGTTCCACACACGCATGCCCAGCCAGATTGTTGGCCCCTGGGCTCACCGCTGGGCTCTCTGAGGGTGTCATAAAAAAGGCTGCCTATTTATTCAGTCAAACTGCTATAGAAAACGCTTAGGAACGCAGGGTATAGGCCAGAGCTTTCGCCACCTTCGGGGAAAGGCAAGCAGAAACGTAAAGTCATTGTCGCTCAGTGATTGTGGCCATTCTTGGAACAGGGTCACAGAAGGTCCCAAATCACGGAGTCCCTCCCACGTTTCAAATATGCAAAAGGTGCGGATATATAGAGTTGGAGTGACCCACGCCATGGCCACAGGATGTGTCCCCTGCGGTATCTCTGTCCTTTATTGCACTGGACCCAACACGGGTGATTAGTCAATATTTGTCCAATTGAAATTCTGCAAAGCAATAACCTTTGCAGCTCTTCCCAGAACGTCCCATTCAAAATGAGATACAGAGGCAACAATGTTCTCTGTATCATTAACCACTGGACGCCCAGGACCGGTCACATCAATGCTTTAACTCACGGTCAAGGAAATGAGCTCATGTTCTGGTAGGTCATTACTTTTCCTCTTTCCCTCTGAGAGTCTATTTTGTTTTTTAATTTTCTTTTTAACCAGCCAAGGCTTTACCTCCATTTTCCTAAAGGAATGCCACACACTCATGATTCAGTGGCCGACCAGGCAGTGAAAATGTGGCTTATCACTCCCGTCTGACACCAGCCCTGTCAGGGGACACTGTCCGCATGTTCTCACTGAGGGCAGGAGCAGGGAGGAGAAGCTAGCGGTAAAGCTGCAGACCCCCTGGCTTCGGCCTTGAACACCTGCTCAGGGAGACCTGCGGCCACTCCAGGCACATGAGGGCAAAAGTGGTCCTGAGACAGTCTCCCTGAGGAGGGGCCGCCTCAGAAGAGCTGCCTGTCTCCCCTTATCCCGAACTGAGCTGAGCACATGCTCACTCTCCTGAGCGGTTGCCATGGCCCTCAGGATAGGCAGGGCCATCTCCATGACGACCACACTAGGGCCATCCCGCTGCAGACCCAGCCGATATGCTGGGCTCAAGTGTCCTGCCGTGGCATCCTGTGTGACAGGGTGGCAATCCCCACGCCAGCAAGGAGGGCTGTCACAGATTGACCGTATTTTGCAGAAAATACAGTAATAATTGTTACCGATTGGTGAGGATGCTTTAGCTCAGAGCCAGCCCTCACTCAGGTGTGCATTCTATATGCAGGGAGAGCAAACTGCTTGCTATCCAGGGATCATGGGAGTCACCCCTTTTCCTAGGCTATCTGCACCTCACCAGCAGGTGATGCTACCAAGCCCCTCAGCCTCACTGGACAGTGGACGTGAACGGAGGTGGGTGGGGGTGCTGCCTTGAGGGGAGACAGGTGAGACTGGAGAGATGCCTGGAAGGCTCTCCGGGCCAACAGTCTGCAAGGAAAAACCATCATTAGATGCATAGTCCTTAAAGAAATGATGCCAAATTTAGCAACTATTCATACCTTAGGATGGATTTTTTAAAATTAGATGCTTGTTTCAAAAGAATCAAAGTTCAGCAGACAGGAAGCAACAGGAGCTCAAGTCTCTGGGCCCCGGGGCATCAGCAGCCTCGGACTCCAGGTGGCTCAGGGCGGTCAGAAGAACCTGCAGCGGGCCTCCGTTCTAAGCTGGCCTGGGAGAGTGCTTAGCGTGTAGGGCTCTGCTGTGGCCGTGCCTGCCTGGGACCGGCTGCTCTCTAGTCTCCCGTCTCCCGGGAAACAGTAAACCGCCATTGCACTACTGACTTCCTAATACGTAGCTATCTCTGTTGCTAGTATCTTTTGTGGCTTTCACGGCGAAGCTTTATATTTGGAACAGGCTGCCTGTTTCACTGCACTGGCTGTGATTTTTATAAATAGAAAATAGAGCAAAAGAGCGTTCGTTTTCCCATCCTGTGGCACAGCACAGAAGGCGCAGGAAATTCAGGATGCTCCGAGAGGAAGCAGCTGCACGAGGTGGGGGCTGCTCATTCACACAGGGCCCCGCCCGGACGGCCTAGATACTTGCCTATGGCCAGAGTCATGGCCTTGAGCTTGCTTCTGACCAGCTTGACCACCATGCTCTTCTGCAGGGGGGTCGAGCGGCAGCAGAGGACAGACCGGCACTGCTTAGCGAGGAAGAGGAATTTGTCCTCCAGGTTTTTCTCCAAGGCGTAGGCCAGACTTCTGCCGTCGATCACGAGGCTCAGGCTGGGGCCGGCGGTGGTGACCGTGGAGGGTGGGTAGACAGGGGAGAAGCCCATACTCAGGCTGCCAGCGGTCTTCTTAGGGGCACGGTGGGGGCTCCTGGACTGCACGTAGTGGAGGCACTGGTCCAGCAGGGCCGCACACACCTCCTGAAATGGACAGGAGAGGACGATGCGGTTCACTTGGCTGCGTCCCTGACCAGGTCACCCGCCCATGGCACGTCTGAGAATCTCCAGGGACCCAGGCTGCAGGCTCTTCCCAGGAGGCCTCCCTCCTGAAACTGGGAAGTGCGTGAAAGAGATGACTTCCAACACAAAAGAGTTTGAGCTGGTTTAGGGTTACTGTAAGATTCCGCTATATTCCATTATACTGTGTAGAGGGTAGGCGAGATCACCTTCTGGCTGGTTCGATGGCAGGAGCTCCCCAGGCCTTGCCTCATGGGCTTCTGAGACCCTTACTTAGCCCTTCCTGTTTGCTGGTGAGGTACCAACAAAAGCCTCAATTAGTCCCTGAGGAAGTGTCATCAAGGAGGGAGGAAACAGCTCAGGTGGTAGAGCACATGCTTAGCATGCACAAGGTCCTTGGTTCAGTCCCCAGCCCCTCCTCTAAAAATAAATAAATAAACCTGATTAACCCCCCCAAAATAAATTAAATTAAATTATATTAAATGGCAATTTGAGGATCCTTAATGATGGGGATAATTTAAAAAAAGAGAAGAAGTGTCATCAGTGTCTACCTACATTCTCCAGGTGACCAGGAAAATGGAGTTTAAAAAAAAAAAGCATAATGACTGAGGCTTTTAATTGGCAGTGCCCGTGCAAAACTGTATCTGGTTCTAGAAAGAAAAAGGAAACAAACTTACTGGGGACCCTGCAGGGTCAGGGACAGAGGCACAGCAGGGACATATATTTCCAGGAACAAACACACTCCAGGGAACACAAGTGGTTCCTGGTCTTCCACAGATGGACAGCGAGTGACCAGCCTCCTGTGATGCACCATGGAAATCCAGTCGTGCCCAACAAGCACTTACTTTGTTTCTTCTTTCTTTTTTTTAATGGAGGTACTGGGGATTGAACCTAGGACCTCACGCATGCTAAGCATGCACCCTACCACTGAGCTCTACCATCCACCCACCAACGGGCGTTTACTGAAGACCTTTTATGTTTAGAAAAGTGAGTGAGATTACAGCAAAGAAGATGAAAAGATGCAGTTATTGGCCTTGGGCGACAGGCAGGCAGCTGGACACACACGCAAACTCACTCGTGACCGCAGCAAGTCATGGACCAGGATGTGCAAAGTGTCGCTGGGCAGAGAGGGAGCGATTTGCTTCTAGGGGGGCTGGGAGTGGCAGTGACAGGGAAGGCCTTGAAGAGAACATGGGGCCTCATCACAGGAAGACCTTGAATCTCCGGGTCCTTGCAAGAGGTCTTGGAGCAAGCACACCCTGCCGCCCCTGGGGCTTTCCACCTTCACCTCGTCTGGACCCTGTGTCACGGGAGCTGGGAGTGGGTGCCGAGGTGGGACAGAGAGAGGTCCAGCTTCAGGAGAAGCCCTCTGCTTCTGTCTCGAGGAGCAGAGACGAGAACTTCCAACGCTCGGACAAGATGGAGGAAACCCTGTTTGTATTTATTTGTCTCTCTCGTCTCTCGAACCCACTCAGGCAATTTGCTCTGGAGGCGGGCAGCAGAATCAGCGGTAGGAGGGCCATCTGCCGCCCAGGACACTGAGGGAGGTGGTCCTTCCCTCCTGTCCTAGCAGTACTTGGCCCTGGATGTCAGTGTTGGTGCAGAATACAAAGCAGATCAAAGCCCAGCTTTCTGGCCAGACGGAGGTCCAGAGAATAAGAAAGTACTGGGAAAACTATGAGGAGAGAGAGCTTGGCAAAAATGTAAGACAGATTCTAACAGCTTGGCAAAGGCTAAACCAAACTGATGTCGAAACCAACCCCCCGAGGCTGCTCAGAGCACACAGCCCAAACCCAGGAGGACTACCTTAAACAAAAGTCCATATTCTCCACAGAATTTAAAATGACCAGAGTGCCATTCAAAAGGCCCGAACTTAGCAGCGTGTAAAGAGGAGAGTTTCAGTGCACATGGAAACGACATGAACCGAAGCCAGTGCCAAGACAACACACGTCCTGGGGCTGCCTGACAAGGACTCTGACGCAGCCATTATAACAGTGTCCCACGAAGGGAGAGAACATTCTAGAAATGAATAGAAAAGAAGTTGCGGCAAAAACTAGAAGAGCTAATAAAGAAGAATCAAATAAAAACTCTAGAACCTCCCAAAACACATTGACCAAAACAAAAAGTTCACAGGATTCCAGGTATGTGTCCATCACTGGATCGCATAAATAATTTATGGGACTTCTCTGTGCTCAAGGAGTGGGAAATGTAACTCCACACTCTGTAGGTGTGGGCTGTGCTTCCAAAGAGGACCGCGTGAGAGGGGTGGAGAGAGTTAGTTTACTGCAGAAGGACCTGACAAAGCATTTACAGAGACAAGTCGTGCTGACAGCATGTGCCCTGGACATGAGGCGCTGAAACGATGAAAATGGAACTTCCTGTCCGTGGTCTTCCTCCCCAGACTCGTAACCTTAATCACGAAAAAGACATCAGACAAATCCTCATATGAGGACATTCTACAAAATCTCTGACCAGTGCTCCTCAAAACCATCAAGATCGTCAGAAACAAAGGAAGTATGAGAAACTGTGACAGTCAGTAAGAGCCTAAGGGGACACGATGAATGCAATGTGGTCCTGGATGAGATTCTGGAAAACAAAAAGAACATTAGGCAAAACTTAAGATGGTCTGAATATAGGACAGATTTTAGTAAGTAGTTGTATATTAATATCAATTTTTCAATTGTAAAGATATTAATAATCAGCAAAGTTAGGTGTAATGAAACACTGAGTGCTACCTTCACAATTTTTCTGTAAATCTAAAACCATTCTATATTAAAAAGCTTATTTTTGAAAAACTACTAAATGGGCTCAGTAGGAAAATGGCGATAACAGAAGAAAAAGTCAGTGACATCCAAGACAGATCAATAGAAATTATCCAGCTTGAACAAGAGAGAAAAAAAAAGAGAGATAAAGAACAGCCCAGGGGCTCTTGAGAAAACACCAAAAGACCCTGCATTCACGCCATCACATTCTGGAAGTGGAGGAGAAAGCGCAGTGCAGAAAAGTGTTTAATGGAATAAAGGCTACAAACTTACCAAATCTGGTGAAAGACATAACCCCACAGACTCAAGAAGCTTAGCAAATCCCAGAGTATAAATCAAAAGAAATCTGTGCCCAAACACGTCACAATCAAACTGCTTAAAACTAAAGACAAAGAAAAACACTGGAAAGCAGTCAGATAAAGACGATTCATTAGTTATAGGCTAATAATGACAGTTGATTTTTCACTGGGTACCATGATGAAATAAAGACATTATCTGAACCTACTCTAAAAAAAAAAATTGATAAAGGAAGTTCTTCCTACAAAAGGGAAATTGTACCTCAAGGAAACTTGAAGCAACAACTGTGTAAGAAGAACAGCAGAAATTGTAAGTATTTATGTAAACAGAATGGACTATTCTTTTCCTCTTGAGTTCTTAAATGTATGCTTTTTGAGTGAAAGTAAAAAAATATAATATGATCTGATGAGGGTTTCAGTGTACGTAGCTGTACTATATACACCTACAGCATTAGGGGTAAGAGTACGGGGCACATGGACTGATAAGATTTCTTCACTCCACCTGAAGGGGAAAAATACTGATTCTAAGTAAACTGTGACAACTCGAGTATGCATACTGTAATCCTAGAACGCATACTAAAAATAGCCAAGCAAGGTGATGCTGTCAAAACACAACAGACCAATTAAAATGGAATACAAAAAATGTTCAAATAACCCAAAAGAAGGGAGGAAAGGGAATGTAGGAACCAAAACCAGAGAACAATAAGAAAACAAAAAGTAAAATGGGAGACTTGAGCCCAAAGATACTGACAAGCACAATAATATAATGTGAACGATCTAAGCTATCAATTAAAAGGGACTGTGAATGTATGAAACACGACCTAGCTACCAAAAACCAAACAAACCCATTTCAAATGTAATGCTACAGGTGGAGTAAAAACAAAGGATAAAACAAGATGTGCCATGCAAACAGAAATCAACGTAGCAGGCAAGGCTATTTTGGCTCAGAGTATTTCAGACTTTTCAGGTCATTCAGCCTCTTGTGGCAACTACTCAACACTGCCATCATAGCACGAAAACAGCCACAGACTGTGCATAAAAACATGGTGAGGGCTGTGTTCAGGTAAAACTCTGTCTGTAGAAATAGGTGGTAGGTTGGAATCGACCCAGAGGCGACAGTTTACTGACCCTATTACAGAAGAATTGAACCATACCATCTCTCAGCTGGATCTAATTGATCCACTGGCCAACAACATGGCAGGATACACACTCTTTTCAGATTCATGTGAACGTTCACCAAGAGAGACCACTCCCTGGGTCATTTAAAACAATGAACAAATGTGAAAGAATTAAAATCATAAAAAGCATATTCGGGGGTGGGAAGGGACACGTGGGGAGTTCAAGAATTACAAATACTGACTATGGTATATATAAAATAGATGAAAAACATTTATTTTGTACAGCACAGGGAACTATATTCAATCTCTTGTAGTAACGAACAATGAAAAAAGAATATAAAAATGAATCTTTTATATGCATATGTATGACTGAAACATGCTGTACACCAGAAACTGACACATTGTAACTGACTACACTTCCATAAAAAAATAATAAAATGATTTAAACTAGTGGGGAAAAAACATATTCTATGACAATAATGGATAGAAATCAATAGAAGAGGTTAACAAAGAAGTCAGTAACAGGAGGACAACGTGGAAAGTCCAAACACTTGGAAATTAAAGAAAACACTACCAATTTTAAGACTGATTTTTAAAAAGCACAGGAAAACATAGTACTGATGAAGGGATACACACAGATCAATGGAATAGAACAGAAAGTCTAGAAATAGACCCAAACAAACAGGACCAACTGGTTTTCAACAAAGGTGTAAAGACAACTTAATGGAAAAACACAGGCTGTCCACAAACGGTGTCTGATTAAGTAGCTCCATGAAGAAGAAAGAAGTTTGACACAAACCTCACACCTTACACAAAATTCTACATGAAATGGATTGTGTCTAATGCTGACATACTAAACTATCTTTTAGAAGAAAATATAGGAGAAACCCTCGTGGGAAGACACATCTTAAGCGTGACCACTAAAGCATGATTCACGAGAGAGACAGCGGGATTTCATTACTCGCTGGAGACGCTCCAAATGCGAGTCACTGGAGGAATCAGAGCCCAGGCCAGAGCCCATGGGAAGCAGATCTTCCCTCCGCACTTGGGGATTTCAGTTGACAGATGGGAGGCATGAAAACCGCAGTGCCTCTGGGCACCCCCGGGGACACCCATGCCGTCCTGAGGATGCCAAAGCCCTGGCTCCACGTGACCTCAGGAAAAACACTCTCTGATACTGCTGGCTGGGGAGTGGGGTCAGGAGAAAGCGGGTTGAACTTTGCATTATAAAGTCTAGATGCACGTTCCTTTGAAATTAGGAAATCCCAGCAAATGCCACATCTTCCAAGACAATGACAACCATGTTCTAAGCGCCAGAAACACAACCCAGGTCCAAATCGAGAGGCAGAGGGCAAAGGCCCATCTCACAGCAGCTGCCAGAAGTGCAAGGTATTCCTTCCTGCTCTGCCCGGGGTATGCTGGTCAGGTGTGAGGCTGCCCAGGCAGAGCCGGGCTCCCTGACATCCGCCCACCTGGGATTCCGCGTTCAGGGTGATGACTTCCTCGTTGTGGTCCAGCAGTTTGCAGGCATACGCGATGTTGATGGCTGTTTCCTGTTTGTCACCGGTGAGAACCCAAATCTGCAGACCCGCCTGACGCAATTTAGCAATGGTTTCCGGGACTCCGTCCTGCAGGCGGTCTTCAATCCCAGTGGCACCTGGTCAAAGGTACGACAGTGCGGGTGAGCCCCCTGCTCCTGGGCTCCCACCCTGACACAGCAAAGGTGCTGACCCATCCTGCAGACGGGGCCCTGCTTGTGGGCCGTATCACCTGGAAGCACTCAGGTGATTCCACACTCAGGACAGGGCTCTCCCAACTCCATGGCAGGGTAACTGGGAGGGGAGACGCTGAACGCAATTCTCCAGCCTTACAGCAGAGCATCTCCAATGCTTCACGCAGCTGACTTCCCACTTCACAGACAGCCTGGAAACCAGGCGTGTGCGGAGACGGGGGCAATGACCATGTTTCCAGGGATGAAAAAGTTTTAAAAATCACCCATCCCACAGAAAGCTTCTGGTGAATGACATCCACAGTGTGTGTTCTCAACAGTCCTTGCAGGGAGCTAACGAAACAGACTACAGAGGCCCATTCTTTCTCTTTTTTTTAAGTTATAAAATTTTTTAAATGGAGGTACTGGGGATTGAACCCAGGACCTCACGCATGCTAAGCACACGCTCTCCCACTGAGCTACACCCTCCCCCCCCATTATTTCTTGAAAGCAACACTGTCGGGAATACACTTTTTCCACAAACATAGTGATTAAGAGGCAGATTTCCCCCATGCAGGAATCAGGAAAAATACACCACCTGGTGCAGAAAAGCGTTCGCTAAAGCCAGCCTCCATTTCTCCTCTGCTTCCAACTTGGGGTGATGGCCTCTGCCTTCCTTCTAGAAGCACAGCATTGCCTACGGGCCCCCCTCGCCCCAGCCCTGCCTTTCTCTTTTATGCCATGCTGTTCCCTGTGTGGGGATGTTGCTGTGGACTGAATGTCTGTGTTCCCTCCCTCCCCCAACAAGAACCCATAGGTTGACGCCCTAATCCCTGAGGTGACGGCATTGGGGGGGGGGCCTCTGGGAGGTGATTAGGTCATGAGGGTGGAGCCCTCATGAGTGAGATTAGTGCCCTTGTAATAATAAAAGACACAAGAGAGATAGTGTCTCTCTCTCCGTGGTGCGAGGATACAGAAGGAAGGCAGCCGTCTGCAGAACAGGAAGGGAGCCCTTATCAGGAATCAAACTGGCCAGCACCCTGACCTGAGACTTCCAAGCCTCCAGGACTATGAGAAATAAATGCCTGGCGTTTAAGCTACCCAGCCTGTGCTGTTTTGTTAGAGGCCCGAAATGACTAAGATAGACACCATTTCCCTTTCTCTGCCTCAAACAGAAGAGATGGCAGGTGCAGGGAGGGTGAAGTCAAGGTGTAACACACGCACAAAAAGTGCACATTTCTTAGATTCACCCTCTGATGCACTTTCACAAATCACACACCTTGTAACCAGCCCTGAGCTCAGGAAACAGGATCACCAACTCCCCAGGAGCCCCCCTCGGGGGTCAGTGGCTGATTTTTCTCTTCCAGCTCATGCAGCCTGTGCGGCGTGTTGGACCTGGACCTCCCACTTGGTAAGTGCACCAGAAGGCTACATGGGAACTTGGGAGGAGTCCAGAAAGGAGGAGGGGATACTGCACCCAAGCTGCCCTCTGCTCTAAACCACGGAGGCCCTGGCGGGAGGACCAGGCAGGGTGTGGGGCTCAAGGTCTGCTGAGGAATGAGCATGTTATGGTCCTTGCTTACAGTGGGCGTGTCCCTTGGGTCCTGGTCCCCCTCCCCAGCCCTAGCTCTGTGGCTCCAGCATTGGAAGAGGGTGTGTATCTCTGACCCCTCATCTTTACCATCCAACAGTGCCAACATCTTTCTGCACATCCCGAGTGTCACCTCTGCTGAAGTGTGTTCCCTGATGTGGCAGGGACAGCAGAGGGAGGGAGGGTCTTGCCCACCTCTGTGTGTTCACAGTGTCTTGTTCACACTTAATAATAATGACTATGGAATAATCATAATGGTGGTTAATCCTGGTGGATTACCATCTACCAGGAAAAGTTTGCACAGCATCCCCAAGATGTGAGAACTACAATTTCCCCACCACTCAGGGGTGGAAAGCAAGGTGAGGGAGGAGAGTTTAGCAAAGGACGGGCCCATGTGTGGAGGGTGAGAAGGCTAGCTGACCCACAGCCTGGCCACTTCTCTCCCCCCTCCATTGTCCAAGGCTGCCACCATCCTGCCTGGAATACAGACTAGTCTCCTAGCCAGTGACCCTGCCTCTGTCCTTGCCGGCCCCAGAGCCAATCCTCAGAGAAGCCAGAGCACTCCTCTAAACCACCAGATGAGTTGGAAATCTACTGAATTCACCTATCGTTGTAAACTCTGCTGTTAGATTTTGGTCAATGGGAAAGCAGTCTGGGAGGCATTGTCTTGAGATTCACCCTGCTTTTAACTGCAAACACTGGTCTCAGCTGTCCCACAGTGCCCTGCAGGTCAAGGTGCTCAATAAATATCTGAATTGATGGGGAAAAAAATGCATTCCCCACAAAGTATGCCTCTGCTCCAAACCTCTGAGCGGCATTATCTGCACTAGGACAACGCTCCCACTACGAGGCAGTGCTTTGTGTACAAATCAACCAATTACCCACTCTTCACTAGATAGTGACCTCCTGCAAAGAGGTCTTCTTTCCCCCCATCTTTGTACCCTGGCTGTTTAGCCAGGACCCTTGGTAAATGTCCCCAGGGAAAGAAAGCAGGGAAGGTCATGCAGGTAAATTCTGGTCCAGAGGGAGTCTGCCTCTGTTTAGGGAAAAATGAGTACCTTAAAAATACAGCTTCTTACTAACTACTATATATGAAATAGATAAACAACAAGTTTCTTTTGTATAGCACAGGGAACTATATTCAATATCTTGTAGTAACCCTATAATGAAAAAGAAAATACAAGCTAATATATGTAGGTATATGTATGACTGGAACACGATGCTGTACACCAGAAACCAACACAACATTGCAAACTGACTATATTACATCGTAGACTATGTTACTATATATATATATATATATATTTATACATAGCTTCTTTATTTTAGGAGCTAATTGGCCAAAGTAATGGCCTCCCCACTGGGCCACTTGACAGACCTTCATCTATACAATGTACAGGTTTGAATCAAACACAGAACACGACCAAAGTCAGAAACAGAGTTATGAAATACGGCATGAACTATGCCTGCGAAAGAAGAGGTAATCTGAAGAACAGTCCTTTTAAGATGACCTGTGTCTTTCTGAGCTCTCCAAGGTAGCTTGTTTGTAATATAATTTATGTGGCTTTGAGTAAATGTCACCTTCTTTACAACCTGATCCCTGGGAGAACCTGGCATTTCGAGATTTATAACCAGGGTAGTGAGTAGGGTTCAAGTTGGTGCCACCAAGCCCCACTGGGCTCAGATGTCAGGCAGCTTTTAATGGGGGGGGGGGATCCCACCAACTGAGGAGCTGCAAATGACATTTGTAGAAAAGAGCAAGACAGCCTGGAGAAAGTGAGCAGAATGTAGGTTCTTGGCCAGAACACGGTGGAAAAGAAAATTTCAAGAGCACAGTGTGAATGATGATCATTCCCCTCACGGTTCTCTGATGTCCTTTAATGTAAGAACCTAAGTAAAAAGATTTCAGTGGGGCTTTGAGATATTAAATTTGGCTTGGGGACATTAAATATCTAAAAGCTCACTCCACATTTCTCAAATGTGACTCTGAGGAGTTGGAGCACTGTGCCCGTGGAAGACTCAGTGGTGAGCAGTGAGGCGGTGGCTCTCCCATTCTCCAGCTTGGCCTCCTCATCTCTGAGCCATAAACATTCCAAATTGTAGGGGATGGTTAAGTGTTTCCCAACCGGCTTGCAGGAGGAAGGCTGACTTGCTGCTTTTGCCATTTCTGTGGTGCAAGCACACCCACCTTGGGTGATTTAAAGCCACCACAACAGCATTGGAGCAGGTGAGGGTAGAGCTCAGTGGTAGAGTGTGTGCTTAGCATGCCTGAGGTCCTGGGTTCAATCCCCAGTACTGCCATTAAAAATAATAAACAAATAAATGTGAATAAATAAACCTAATTACCTCTCTCCCTAATAAAAAAAAAAGCATCAGAAGGCTATGCAAAATTCCTGAGAATGCATGCAAAACAGCAAACAGTGACCGCAAAATTCCTGAAAACTTAGCAGCAGGCTCCGGCCAAAGGGCATGAGCAGACTCCAGCATGCTGCCCACGTCCTGGTGGGCAGTCCTGGGGCTCCTTCCCCGACCCAGCTCAGAGCCACCCTAATACGCCTCTGGAGAGAAGCACCCGCCTGGGGATGACAGACATGCTTGAATCAGAATTCTGAACCATTTTACTGCCAGGACACTGACCTAACCCCAACAGAAAGGGCTGGAGGAGGGAAAAGTAGAAAACCCTATTTTTAGAGGTTTGCACAATTGTCCAAGTAAAAATGCCAGAACCCGAGCCAGGAAGCAATTCCTGGGGAAAAGACTAGGAAGATGAGTTGATTTCAAGTTCAGGATGATCCTAGGGTGAACTAGAGCTGTTTAAAATTCAGGATATGTTAACAGACATATAGCATCTGGGCCAAGGGAGGTGACAGGTGCCCAACCACCAGAGAGTCTGTACAGAAGAGGCCAGCCAGGCCATTCAGGTGTGGAGCCTTCATCACTGCGCAGCTGCTGGGTGTGGACCTGGAGTCTGCACTTTGCTCAGCCCTTCGCTGCATCCCCTCTGCCCACCCTAACAGGACTATTACTTCCCCTTAGCGGATAAGGAAACTGGTATGCACGTGCCCAGGCTCACATGACCAGTAAGCGGCAGAGCCAGGACTGGACCACTGAGCCAGGGCAGGGAGGCAGATTTCACTCTACTCAGTAAGTTAGAGCTGTGGAGGGGGTGGGGGGAGAGGAGCTGCTCCTAGGGGAGGGCACCTGCAGTGGAGGTCAGAGAGGCCGGGCAGGTGCATCCTGCCCTCCAGACAGGAAACCAGCAGGACCCCCTCCCATTCCACAGGCCTATCAACTGTCTTTTGGAGAAGCTCCTTCCAGATGTGAACAGCGTTCAGTAAACCAAAACCTGGCAGCCTCGACGAGGCACAGCCCGTTTCCAAGTGTTTCATTTAATTCACCCCCAGGGATACCACTCAGGATGCCTCTGGGGCTCTGGGTCCTCGGACTGTTTTGAATTGTACATGGCCTCCTATAGGACAACGTGGACAAAAGAGAATATCATATAAAGTGTGTATATGTGATGCTCTTAAGTATGTGAGTACTCTACTCTATTGCAGACGCATATGTAGATATATCGATATCCCAACTCGTTTGCCCAGGGAGGAGGCCAAACGAATTACAGCCTTTCTTGTTGAAAGGTGAACCCCATTTCTCTGTGCCCCGGGAAGATCATCTGACCACCAGCACCATGGGATGGGGAGTGTGTACACACACACAGCACTGTTCCAACGAGCTCCTGTTGACCGTACAGACAGCGCGAATACAAAGACTCCTCTAATTTAATACATACATCAGTAAATATTACGTACTTTAAATACTTAATCAAATGAATACTTAAGTAATAAAATACTTTTATAGATACTAATATGAATTCAGTAGCAAATATGAGCACATTTTAGTAAAAATGAGCCTTCTTTTTGGGGGGGGTGTTAATCCAAATTGAATTTTTGAAACATTCACAAGATGTGAGTGGAGTCCAACGGTTTCTGTGTTTCCTGGATGGGGGAGATCTTGTCAAGCATCCATTGTTGAGGAGCCTTACTCCTCATCACTATTTTTGGTGGGGAAGTAGGGTTTCAGGGGAGGCAAGTCGGGTGTGGTTGCAGTGTCTGGCCGGAGTGGCATATGAAATGTCACAGAGGGACACAGTGAGAATATTCAATCAAGGCCAGCAGCCCCCGCACCGGGGGGGGGGGGGTCCCCGCTAGCGTCAGGCCAGAGGGGTCGTAACCAAGCCCGCATGCGCGCAGAGCTGCCACTGGCTAGAGGCACCGGCACCTCCCGGTCCAGGATGCTGCAAACTCCGCGCGGCTCCACATGACATCCGCTCGCGAGAGTAATTACCCAACAGATGCAGATTCGTCTCCAGGCGCATGGCAGACTGAAAGAGGAGCTCCTCTCGGTTGTCCAGGGCAGATTCCGCTTCCAAGTGGCTTTGCAGCCAACAGGCATACTCCTCTTTGCTCAGAACCTGGGAGAGACCCGCTGATGAGAGCCCGCAGGCCGAGCCCCGCTGGCCCCGCCCTCCCGCGGAGCCACGCCCACTCACCCTCTTGGCGATGCACAAGGTGCGCAGGCCCTCCACCGCGTACAGGTTGAGGTAATTCTGAGTCTTGCTTCGGATTTTCTTTTGATGCCTTCCCCTGGCGTCATCTAAGTTGGAGGAGAAGCAGAAACGACGGAGGAGTGAGGACAGCAGAGCCCGGTGGAGGACCCTGGGTGGACCTCCCCGGCCACTTTGCCCATCGACATCACGCTGCGTCCACGGATTACGCAGCGGGAGAGCTCGGCACCAGCAGAGATTCTAGCTGGGAACCCTTCCCACCCGTGGAAAGAAAACAGCCACGTGTTAAGGCCTCTAATGGAATCATGCTCACAGAGACGGAACATAGCATGGTGGCTGCCAGGGGCTGGAGGGAGGGGAGAAAGGCGTACAGAGCTTCAGTTTTAAAAGATTAAAAAGTTCTGGAGTTCTGCTGCACAGCAATGCGAATAAACTTGCCACTACTGAGCTGTACATTTAAAAATAGTTAAGATAGTACATGTATGTTGTTTTCTTAAAATCACAATTAAAAAAAAAAAAGACTAAGAAATCAGCTGTCAGCTAGTAAGTTTCCCAAACATCCACCCTTTTCTGTTTTCTGCAGACCCAGATGTGGAGCAGGCTGGCGTGTTTCCAGTCTGCAGAAGTGCTGACTCTGAGCCTCACCCAACTGCGGAATCCACGGCAAAATGACACACACCTTCTTAACTCCACCATATTCTGGAGGCAATAATTATGAGCGAGAAGGCAGAAGGCAATTCAGTTTTCGCATGCTAACAGTGTAAGTGAGTGCATGAGTGTGTTTTGGGGCCAGTGAGGAGGACGTGGCCATCCCCGTTCTGCCTCCTGCTAGCTGGCCGCATTTGGAATGCTGGCCACAATTTGGCTACAATTCATCAAGCAGCAATGCCACTAGAGCATCCTTTCGCGATGACTGATTCCAACCACCTGCAGTGAGGGGCACCCCGAGCACATCTGCTCCACTCGGTTTATCCTACGTCTGTTTCATTCCCTGTCAATAGTACACACGTTTGATAAAAACTTAAAAGTCAGATGTTACTTTAAAAAGAAACTTGTTGTCTTTTTGACTGCTTCTAATATCCCTTGTTGAAATGAGAACGTCATATAAACAAAAGCTCACTAAGAGTGATCTGCCGTCCCTTTGTCCAGGAGGTGGACATATAAACGAAGGCACATAAACTTCCTGTTTATGAAAAAATCATATTTAATAATAACAATAAGGGCACAAATGAACTACTTATTATTTATAACTAAGATGACTGATTTCTTGAATATGTGTAAGCACATCTGACTGTCCTTTATGACTGGATTGCCGCATTCTATTGATTTTTATTTTGTGGTTGGCTTTATTCCTTTGATAATTATGTAAGTTTAAAAAGCTAAAGCTCTAATCTGCTCTCAGAAACAATGATCAGTACACATACATAAATTTAAAAAAACTGCAGTATATTGTATATATGTATTTACATGCAATATGTGTGTGTGCAGTCAAACTGTAATAATTCTACCTAATAAAACTGAAAAAGGAAAAAAAGAGAAAAATCATATTTAATAGAAAGTCCAATTTCTATCCCCCGTACACCAGTAATGTTGCCAGACAGAAGATGCCTAAATGGCACACTGGACATACCTTTTACTAAAAATATTATTTCTCGTTTACCTGAAATTAAATTTTAACTAGATATTCAATATATTTAATTTGCTAATTCTAGCCATCCTACCTTCCAGTGATGAGGCCCCTGGTCTGGGGAAGGCAATCTATGATCCAAGTCAGCTCCTTGACAAACAGGACCTGGGAGAGGCTCTCGTAACCTGGGAGAGGAGTGCTCTCTCCATGGAGATGACAGCGCCCCCTAAAGACCAAAGATTGGTCCCCAGGGGGCAAAAAAGTCTTTTTATGCATAAAGCACAGATCTACATAAAGTCCATAAACAGACATACAGCACATCTGTGGCATTAAAATGTCATGGGTGGACAATTAGGAAAAAAATCCAAAAAGACTCCCTAAGGAGGCAGTGAAAATAGAGGGTTGGGCACCCCCGCCCGAGACTACTTCAAGGGATTTAAGTTTCCTGAAAAGATGACACTGAAAGTCATCTTAGTTTTGACTACCGTTTACTCCTGGTGTTGTGATAACATTACCCCAGATTCTGACTGTTCTTGGAGCAAAGACATCTGAGGGACCTGGATGTGATATTAATAAAGTGCTTCAGGTGTCTGGGGGGTGGGGGGGAGGGTAAGGCTGCACTCGGGGGAGGGAGCAGGGTGCATGGCCTTTAACCACCTTGGTCAAAGCAAAACTAATGAATGAAAAAGAATATGAAATGTATGTATATGTATGATGGAAACATGACGCTGTACACCGGAAATCGACACATTATAACTGCCTATGCTTCAATTCAAACAAACAAACAAAAAACTAATGAGTGAGAGAAGGCAGGCCAGGCCACTCAGGACCTAGGGGGCCCTGGATGAAGGTTTGGTCACACACCGCGGTGTTTCTGTGCGGGACGGAGTCTACCCAGCCCTGCAGGGAGAGAAACCGTGACCACCACCTGGTGGCCCTCCCTCCTCCTCTATTCTTTGCCCTTGGAGGAGGGTGGAGCCGTCTGCAGCTCTGTGCCTTAAAAACCACACAAAGTGGCAACTGGACTGAACCTCTGGTGAGTGAATCTTAAGGAAAAGAAACCAGAGATGGGAAAGGGACCACACTTAAGCTTTATGCCTGTAACACACCAGGCATGATGCTAGGAGTTTGGACAGGGGTTTGCTGTCAGGTCAGCATTCTGACTTCCTCTGTACAGATGGGAGGCTGAGGCACGGGGAGAGTGAGTGACTTGCCCAGGGTCACTCCAGCCCATAAGACTTGGAATTTGAATAGAGGTCTGTAGGTCCTGGATGGGGTAGAGTCCCTGCTTTCTACCCGATCCCACCTAACTTATTGCTAGGCCACGTCCTTCGAACATGACACATTCCCCATCCACCTCCTCGTGTCTTTTTTGATCAAAGTGTTGCAAGCTCTTTGAAGAAAGATGCAGGACACTCCGATGCTCTCCTCCCTGTATCCCCTGCACACAGGCAGAGCAACCTGGCCACAGTGCTGCACGTCACAGGCAGCCATCTGCAAATCGGCTCTGCTCCATACCCCACCCACCCCCTCACTCCCGAAATGAAAACTGAATGAGTTATGCACAATGCCAGGGTGTCACTGGTGGATAACTTCAAGATGACCCCAGAGCCATCCCTTCCCTTGGGAAACCGCTGGGGGCTCTGAATGCCCTGAATCTTAAACTGCCTGGCGTCTACGTGTAGATCTTCCCTCTCCAAGCCTCCCTGAAGCGCACATCGCTTGGAAATTCCCAGAGGAAGGTGGAGACTTACGCAAACTTCTTGTTTTTGATTTGTACCCTCCAACATCACGGTTTGAGCAATGCGAGAGTTAACATGACGTCATGCTTTTATTTTTTCCATAGTGCACCAGATGGAAGGCTTTGCTCTTTCTCACCTGCAGTTAATCCCTCCCGGGGACCCATAAGGAGGAGGTGGGCAGCAGCAGGTGAGGTGGGTGCCAGAGCAAAGCTACACTGGGGCTGCAGGACCAGAAGGGAGGGGGTCTAGGGCTCCCTTCACCCCCTGACCTTGAAGCTGACTCTGAGAGATAGAAGTTTTGTTTGTGCTTTGTCTAGACATTTAAAGCTTTTTATTCATTTTTTAAAAAGTGCACTGCCAGCCAAGTATGAGCATGGCCAGTGCTGCAGGCTTCTTGGCGGCTCTGACGCCCCTCGCACAGGTCAGCAGGTTCCCTGCTCTCTCTCTGGGCTGGGGGTCAGCGTCTCTGGCCATCCCACCCTACCCTTGCTGGCTAGTGCTGGCTTGGCTATTCACCCTATCCATAACCCACTGCAGGTGTTAAAGTCCAAAACACAGAGGTCTGTTAAACCGTCTTTACAAGAAGGCTGTGGAATTCTTTTAAAAAAAATAATCAAAAGGCTCCTTTATTGTAAATGTAGATAATACCATAATTCATCAAAATAATTTATAATAGTTAACTGCTTCTTAAATATAATCTTCTAAATGATGCCTTTTGAAGTTGAAAGTAATATGGATTCAGTTCATTTAAAATTATTTAGAACAGGGTAATAGAAATTAAAAAAAAATTAACTGCCACCTATGAAGTCTTCTAAGAAAGGAAATCATGACAAGTTCTTGATGAGATAAACACCACTCCATTATTAAAGGGGATCAAGAAGAAGCATAAAGTTAAAAAGCACAAAGGTAATGTTTTTGCAGTAGAAGGAAATCTACTCAGGTAAGTATCATATCTACGGTTTTTCTTTCATGTGGATGCAAAAGCTAATTTCAGAATGAAGGTGGCTCTCTGAACAAAATCAACCTGAAACTTGGATTCCATGTCTTCCCTGGGGCAGAATCACCACCTGATGGGAAGGCAAAACCCATCCCCCCGGAGTAGGTCATCCCCAAGAAAGGCCCTTCATTGAAACCAGATGCATTTGCAATTCACTCAGATGCCTTTGGGAGGGAATAGCTCTGTGCCAGGAAAAAGGATTTCCTGTCTGCAGAGTTTCTGCGGTAGCCAGGAGTCCTGCTCTGAGGCACTGTGATCATGGGGAGAGGACGAGAGGACCGTGGGAAGTTAAGCAGTATTCCCTAGCTCCACTCCTGAGCTCCAGAGGGGCATATCCAGTGTACAGGGTTTCACACAGGTGGTACCCAGAGCTGTTTCCAGGATACAGCAAGGAGGGAGGTAGCAGAATTATGTGATCCCTCTCCATCTGCCAGCAGCATCCTCACCTCCACCCTGCTTCTCTCCCCTGGAGGTCAGACGGCCCCTCCTTTGTCCTTTGGGTACAGAGGGAGGTGTGACCAGGTTTCCTAGTGGGCACCCAGGTTCTCCCCCTCCCAAGTCCAGTAGCATTTGTTCCTGGAAAGAGGGGCAAGTCCTCCTGCTAAACAAAGTTCCACCCTCTATACCAGTGGTTTCTGGACTCCTCTTTTCAACCCCAAAGTTGCGTGGAACTCTAGCATAAAAGAGACCAAGATGGAGCTTCGCAGCCCCACAGCGGCCAGAGGCCTGCAGTCCCCACTACCTGGGCCCCCACTGAGGCCTGAGGCAGCTCCACAAATGGGCTAAAAACCATGGCCTGGGTGTCACAGGTGCTCCAGGTCCAGACAGTCACAGGGCAGAAGGGAACCTCCTGGGACTTTTGGCCAGAAGTTCTTAACCTTCATTGTCCAGATTTAAAACCTGATGCTGGGCCTCACCCCCAGGAATGCCCAACCCCATTCTCTGGAAGCGGGTTCAGACACTGACGCCCTCCATCCCCCACCCGCACCGCGCATTCCAGTCCAAACCCTTCAAGGGAGAATTTCTGGCCACCGAGAGAGGCAAAGCTCCGATGGGGGGAGGGGGTGGTTTCTGGGGACGCCGCCAGCCCCTGCGCTGAGTGGGTGGGGAGCTGCGAGCAGAGGGAGCAGGGTACCTGCGGAGCAGGGCAGCAGGAGGTCCATGACCACCGAGTCGGCCCCCTTGGTATAGACGTTAATCTCATCGGTGAGCGGGTGCCTGATCACCACCGACATCCTCTTGCGGATGGAGTCGAAGCCCAGCGTGTGCAGGAGCTCGAAGGTGAGGCGGCCCAGGTGGGGCAGCTCCACTGACACCTGGTCGTGCAGCCGGTCCACGAGCGTGCAGTTGTAGGCGCGGGCGGCGTAGACGAGCGCCGCCTCGTCGGGGCTCTCAGCCTCGTAGCGCAGCTC